TTAGTTTAGTTCCTTGCTAGTTTATTGATTAGTACAATTACAAATTTCCAATCTTATGTGTATTTTTATGCACCTTTTCTTTGCCAAGTGCCTTGAAATTTGGCCTGTTCAACTCTTACACTATGGTTCAAGGAATTTGAGAGGGAAAAGAAAAGAAAACGAGAAGGAAAACATTTTTCTTGTTTGGTTAGAGAGGAAAAGAAAAGAAAAATGGAAGGAAAAGAAAATGAGAAGGCAAAATGTGTTAAGATGAGAGAAAACCAAATTCCTCCCATTTTGGTGAGGAAATTGAGGGAAAACCATTTTCTTTTCTTTTCCTTCCAATTTCCTTGAACCAAACAGTGTTAAAGTTTTGTGTATCCTTCTGTTTAATCTTTTTCATAATTACTATAAAAAATACATTATCAAGACTAAACTATCAAGTAGATAGTTTATGGCTTCATTATCCATTATCATTGATTATAATCGTTAGCCTAAAGTTTCTACAATAGACTCACTCGAACTGAAGAAATTTAATTAGAGATTTGGCTTTTTTTTAAAAGTTATTTTTATATTTTCTGGATTTCTTTGAAGTTGAATATGAATTGCTTGATATGGGAATTACATGCTAGAGTTTTGCCTCAACTTGCAAATTTATAAATATCTTTCTGGATCGCTAGCGGATTGTTGTTGCATTTTGAGTAAAAGCTGGACCACGTTGATTGTGATTATCAATTTATTCTTCTCTTAAGATTGTAAATTCTTATGAGTGCATTCATTGTTTCATTCCTTTTTTCAACAGGTCTTTGATAAAGACAATGTTGGGCAAGATGAGCGAATGGGAATTGCTAGGTTACCTTTGAAGGATCTGGAAGCTGACACCCTAAAGGAAATTGATTTGCAATTGCTGCCAAAACTAGATATGCTTAAAGTCAAAGACAAGAAGAATAGAGGGACCATTACAATTAAGGTATGTTGCCTGCTTTGAGTGGTATCTGGCTTTTCCTTTTCTGGTATGATTTTTGGGAATATGAACGATATTTAGAGCCCGTTTGGCTAGGGTGAACTTGGCTGAATTTGTGATTGATTTTGATGAAGTTGGAATTTGCTGAATTGTGGGGTAAAAACTCTGATTAGATAAAGAAAAAAAGTTGCGAAATGGGTTGATATTAGAAACCAAAATAACATTATCAACCTCAGCTAAAAAGTTTCTCTAGCCATTATTATTTTCATTAGAAACCAATTCAGCCCGCATATTACTATTCCCGGGTAATCTGAAGTAGGCAAATACTGCATGTTGATATTGAATGGTTTGACCAGGTCCTGTATCACGAGTTCAACAAGGAAGAGCAGGAAGCTGCACTGGAGGAAGAGAAGAGAATCCTGGAAGAAAGGAAGAAACTGAAAGCAGAAGGGGTGATAGGGAGCACAATGGATGCCCTAGACGGGGCGGCGTCACTTGTTGGTAGCGGCATAGGCGCTGGCGTTGGGGTGGTGGGAAGTGGGTTCGGAGCCGTTGGCAGCGGGCTGAGTAAAGCTGGAAGGTTTATGGGCAGGACGTTTACTGGGGGGAGTAGCACAAAGGGTCAGAAGAGCGCGGGCCCCTCGACCACCGCAGCCAACCCTATTCAAGAAAACGGCGCCTCTAAGCCGCTGTAAGACCGCCAAATAAACATGTTTTTTTTTACAGTGCTAGGCATTTATTCATATCAAGCGCAGGATTCATTTCATCATGTTTATACATTCTCTTCTGGCTTCTTGAGTGTGTTTGGCTCACATAACACTGTACAGAATTTGCTCATCATCTCTCCAAATTCTTAGAACAGAAGAGCTGTGGTTTATTAAGATTCTGTTTTCCTGTGTTTCGTCTGTCTCGGCCCTTGATGGGCTCGTGCGTGTATATATATTGGTTTGATCATCATAAATATAAACTAGTATGTACACACACACACACACACATGCGGGATGGACAGGAATGACCCCCGCTCTTCCTGCTCGACCTTCTTCTTCATTCTTTCCTTCTCCCCCTCGCATGTGTTCGGCAGCCACCACCCTCTTTTTCCCGATCTGCTCCCTTTCCCTTCGACGTCTATACTCCATAGCCTTATAATATAGAACCCCGTTTGGTAAGGATTATTTGATTGAATAATTAACGACACCACCACCACCAACAATTCAATTGGATCCCACAAGAGTGAGGACGGATGTGTGTTGGTAGGTTTTTGAAGATAGTTATTTTAAAAAAGAGTCAAGATAGTTTTAAAATGTTAAGAAATGAACACTTTTTTTCTTATTTCAATAAACTAAATAGCCTAAAGTGTTAATAAAAGTAATACGGAGTAGAAGTTAAAAATGGAAAGTGTGAAAGAGCACTACGAATTACGGAGTATATGAATAATGATATTAAAAACTAGAGCGAGAGCAAAAAAAATACAAATTTCAATACTTTTATTAATTAATAATATTTATATTAACATTTCAAAGATATTTTTATTATAATTATAGTTTGTCGGGTCGTTGATCCAGTTCATCCCGATCTGTCTGATTAACTCTTGATCAAATTGCTTATCCTGGACGATGTCCGGTCTGATTTTAAGAAGATGTTATTTAGAGCACCGAAATTGATGATGAAGCCTCAAGACTTCAAACCTTCTCTCTTCCACATCAACTTTAACTTCAATAACAGTTCTACTGGAAATGGGTTTGAAGCACAAGTCTTCAAACTGGCTTCACATCGTTTTTTAAAATTTTTAATACATATTTTGTAATAAATTAATAACATTTGATTAATTAATTAAATTTAAATGACAATAATTCATTAAATTAAAAAAGTACATTAAACAAAAAAGACATTAAATAAAAAAAATTACATTAATAAAAAAAGAAAGGCTTAAAAATACTTGAATGACAAAAAACTTAAAAATTACACTACATTGAACGACTAAAAATATGTTCAATCAAATTCACCGTAAGTTTAAAGATCCCATTTTTTAGGTAATCTGTTGAGAAAATTTAAAAAATAGAATATTTTTGGATAAATTATAGAGAGAATGAAAATACATTGTGTGTGTATTTTTAAAAAATTAAGGAGGTATTTATAGTTGAAGATTTATATTTTTAATTTGGCCAATGGCCTAAAAATATTACCTTGGGAGGGGGAGGCAACAGTCCTCTGTTGCGTCAAACGTTTAACGCAGTGGCGTTAACGCCATGATAGCACCCATGGGGGCGGTGCTTAACGCCTTGGCGTTAAAAGGAGGATAATGCGTAGCAACTTCAAATGCATTTCCCCTGCCCTTACAGGGAAAAACTTGACCCCCTCTCACCCCACCCCCACCCCCAACCCCACCAATGGCCCCCTCCCCTCTAATTCAAATCAATAAAACAAAAATAAACAATCGAAACCACCTGGTTGAAGTGCCAAAACCACCATCCCGCCACCTTATACCACCCTGCATGGTGCTGGTGCCAGTTCCAACAACCCGCCGCGACAATTCACGTACGGTTCCAAATTTAGATCAGATTTAATCAGATCAGATCCAATCACTCATCAGAACAGGTCGAATCGAAATTATTATTATTATTATTGGCGCCCTTTTTTACAACAAATTTTGTTGTCATATTATGATTACCATCAATTTTTTGAACAAAGCACAATAGCCACTATTGTCATATTATGACATCAATTTTGATGTCAAAAGAAGGTCACCCTATTGTTATTATTGTTGTTGTTATTATTATTGCAACCTATTATTATTATTATTATAATTATTATCAATTTATAGGAAGAGATGGACGAAGTCATGGAGAAACGTGTCTAAGATCAGAAATAAATAAATAATTAAAAATGGGCAAAAAAATTAAAAATAAATAAATAATTAAAAGTGAAATAAAAATATGTGGTAGAGAAGGAGGAAGGTGACAAATGAGATACACATTCAAAAAAACGGAACAAAGCCTATGCCTATCTCAATCCTCACCTAAACGTTGCTCTGGACTAGAGGAAGGCCCCGTTCCGTTCAACTTATTTTTTTTATTTTTTCTTATTCTTATTAAAATCAGATCAGATCAGATCAGACCAGATCAGATCGAATCAGATCAGACCAGATCAGATCAGATCGAATCAGATCAGATTAGATCAGATCAGATCAGATCCAATCAGATCAGATCAGATCCAATCAGATCAGATCCAATCAGATCAGATCCAATCAGATCAGATCAGATCCTATCAGATCAGATCAGATCCAATCAGATCAGATCAGGACTTATTAAAATAAGATCTCTTCAAGAATTATTATTATTATTATTATTATATTATTATTATTATTATTATTATTATTATCATCATCATCATCGTCATCATCATCATTATTATTATTATTATTATTATTATTCTTAAAAATGAAAAAAAATAAACTTTAGAAATAGGTTAAATAAAAAGCTAAGAAAGTAATCCTTAATTATTAGACGTCGGAAAAATTAGTTTTAAAATACATTGACAATGTCAATCTAATTCTACTTTTAAAATATATTTTTATTGCTACTTGTAATTTGAGTTTTCTAAACTTTTGATCTTTTATAAGGATGAGATATTTTAATAAAAATACTATCTCTTCTATATATTGATTATCTAAATTTAATTACTTTTAAATGTATATCTAAATTAAATATTTATTCTAATGTATAATTCTAATTTTACAAAAAAATTATCATAAAATAAAAAATATTATTACATTATAATATGAATGATTATTCTAATATATGAATTAACTATTTTTATTTTATTAAAAAATAATCATTAAATAAAAAATATTGATTATATTATAATATTAATTATCATTACAATTTTCAAACGTTATTATAAAGTCAAATTAAATTATTGATTTGAAATTTTAAATTAAATCATAATTAATTAGATCAGATCCAATCAGATCAGATCAGATCCAATCAGATTAGATCAGATCAGACCAGATCAGAACTTATTAGGATAGATCAAAAAATAAGTTGAACTGAGCCGAAGTCGAGTCATACTCCTAGTCCCAGCGGGACTCGAAAATGGAGGAGAAGAAGATGAAGAGGTAGTTTGAATGCAAACCAGTTCCATATGAAACTTTTCGCCGGCAGTATTATTTCTTACTCGTAGATCACACCCTACCTCCTCCTTCGAGAAGATGTCTTCAGGCATCCTGAGTACCGGCGGGGGTGACGCGCCGCCTCAGCCGTCGCCACCGGCAGCTTCAACCGGCGGGGAGTTCCTTCTCCAATTGCTTCAGAAACCTGCCAGTCGCCCTTCAGGTGGTCCTAGACCCGGCCATGCGCCTACCCACGATCCGGCTGTTGCCAGAGTGGGGCCAACTCTTCCGTCACCGCCACCTTATCGGAATCCGCCCAACGGCCACGGTTACCATACCTCTTCATCCTGGCAGCACTCTCCACCTCCGTACGCCTCGCCCTTTTTTGCTCCCCACGATTTCTTCGCTCATGGGTTTCCCCAAAACCCTAACCCTAATTTATCCCCCGGCCCCAGTGTCTTCAATCAAACCTCGCGTCAGCACATTTCCCAACCAGGTCATGGTTCGAATTCCCAGCCTCATTCTTCTCATCAGCTCGAGCAAAATCTCTTCTTTGGGTCTTTGCCCATGGGCCTGCCTAGTAATGCGGGCTTGCGAAACGGAGGTCTGAATGAAAGGGCAACACGAGACTCTGAAATTAGGAGCCACATTCACACTGAGAGAACATCTACTACCAGACAAGCTGGTAGGTTGAATGGTTTAGAGACCCAGTTTAATAATTCGCCTCTACAAAACCGATACAATCAAGAGAGTTCGGCTGGCTTAAGTATTCACGAGCAGGGGAAGCATGGTGGTGGTGCTCGGCATTGGGGAGAGAATAATAGTGGGCGGGCACCCCCAATGGTCTTTGCTAACCAGTTAAGGAATGTAGGAAATGCGGGACATGGTAATGAGTTGAGATACTTTGAACATGGTGTGGATAAGGGGAAGAGCCATCACAATGTTGTGAATCAAAGGCTCATTGATCGATCTGGTCCATCCCCAGGAAGCAATATGCGGGCTGTTTCAACTTTTGATTTTGAGGAATCACGTGGTGGCGATGGCCCAAGTACTGGAGAATCCAGAAATATGGTGAAGGGTGATATGAGGACAGCTAAGGATGAAAGTCAGAGTTTAGAAGATTTACAAGAACAGCTCTTGAGTTCTCTTGGGATTGAAGATGGATCGGACGCGCGAAAAGATAAGAATAAGCGATATGGATCTCGTGAAAAGGTAATGATTTGAAGGAATGTGAATTTTTTTTGTTTCCACGGTTTCCTCCCCACCCCCATCCCCTGTTCTTTTCCCAACAATTTTCTATTTTTGATTGAATACTGTTATTTTTGCTGTTGTGTCATTAATATTAACAAAACCAGGGCCATCGGAGAAATCGTGGGGAGCAAAAATATTAATCAACAAAATGTCATTAATATTAACATCGGAATCCGCCCAACGGCCATGCGCATAATGGTTCATACTTCATAGTGTACCATTTTTGTTGATTAATATTTTTATCAAACAATGTTTGAATTTTTTGTTTCTCGTTAATGGATTTGGTCTATACCTTTTTTGTTATGTTTCAAATTGTGCTCATGGAGGGCTCTTCACCTACTATAATGATCAGGACAACAACAGATCTGATGATAGAGGAAAATGGCTCCTTGGTCAGCAGAAGAGGATAATGAAAAGTCTGGTAGAATGCCGTAGTGATATACAATGGTATGATGGTCATTTCCTCAATATTTATCAGTCTCTGATACCGTCTGAAGAAGAAAAAGCAAAGCAAGATCAGTTAATGACACTGTTAAAGAATATTGTTGCTAAAGAATGGCCTGATGCTCAGCTGTATCCTTATGGATCATGCTCCAATTCATTTGGGTTTTCAAAAAGTGACATTGATATTTGCCTTGCAATTGGTGACAATGATATCAATAAATCAGACATCTTATTAAGGTTGGCTGAGCTATTGAAGGATGAAAAGCTCGAAAATGTGCAGGTAAGCTTTTTGTGATGCTGGCCTTATGTTTTATGTGCGTTTCGTCTTATTATACATAATATAAGTTTCTTCGATAGCTTATTTCTCTTTGACATGCATAGGCATTGACACATGCCAGGGTGCCCATTGTCAAGCTCATGGATCCCGAAACTGGTATATCTTGTGACATTTGTGTGAACAATTTGCTGGCTGTTGAGAATACGAAGCTGCTTTGGGACTATTCACGGATAGATGCACGATTGAGGCAATTGGTTTTTATTGTTAAACACTGGGCTAAATCAAGAGGAGTGAATGAGACCTATCGTGGGACACTATCTAGCTATGCGTAAGTCAAGGATATTTTATTTACTACGGACACTATCCCCCCTCCCTCCCTCTATCTCTTTCGCCCTTTCTTGAGGTTTTCATGTTTTTAGTTAAATACTCCCTCCTTCCTGAAGTATTGTCCAGTATTCCATTTTGGGCCATCCCAGAGTATTTGTCCACTTTCCCTTTATGGAAAACACAATTGATATCAAAAGCCCGTTATACCCTCATGAATCAACTCCCACCAATTACTAGTTTTAGATTGCATTTCTTGCTCCCACTGTTACTCTCTCTCGTCTAGAGTTTCCACAAAGGCTTTCAATTTGCAACAGTGACCTTTACTCTCTCTCTCTCTCTCCTCTTCTCTCTCTCTCTCTCTCTCTCTCTCTCTCTCCCTCTCCCTCTCTCCCTCTCTCTCTCTCTCTCGTTTGGAGTTTGCAAGGAGGCGTTCAATTTGTAGCAGTGAAGTACCGGACGACATTCGATTGTGGAAAATTGTCTGAGATTTGTAGGCATTCCATTTGTAGATCTGGCAGCGTCGGGTCACAAACCAAAATTCTCAATGTCGGTGTTTAATCCCCCGCTCTTCGGCCCAATATGGGAAAATCGAATGATAATTGTCGGCACAAGCTTGTCTCACTTCTAATTTTGTTGATTTTCTCCTCCAATCCTTAGCTCCTCGAATATGAACCGCCGTCTCAATCCTTCGCTCTTCCTCGGCCGCAGGGAAGGGGATTGAGCAACAAACTGATGGTGAGGGGATGTTGGGTTGTGGGCATCTAGTTCAGGGCTGGGCAGGGAGGGATGGGGCGAAGAACCAAATGGGCAATTGTGACATTTTATCTCTGTATTCTCTCTACATTGGTTTGAGTGGTAAAACAAAAGTTGACCAATATTGCGGGACGGAGGGAGTAGCTCAATAACATTGTTTCTTCTTATTTATGCTTTTCTTGTTATGCCCCATTATGTGTATGCCCACTCTTGAGTGCAGGTATGTTTTGATGTGCATTCATTTGTTGCAGCAGCGTAGGCCTGCCATTCTCCCCTGCCTGCAGGTGTGCCTTGATATAGGGATTTTCTTTTCTAGCTTCTCATTTTCCAACTTTGGGCAGATATTCGTCGAAATTGCACTTAAAAAGAAAATTTTCTGGGACCAATCTGCACCTGAGGGACAAGACAACTATTTAGGATATAGCCACGCATTTTTCATCTGATAAAAGTGTTTTGTTCTTTTGTCAAATTATAACTAGGGAATGAAAGTTACATACTACAATGCTGTTGATAATGTGGAATGTGCTTACTTTGATAAAGTGGAGGAGCTTATAGGCTTTGGAGCCGGTAATCGAGAAAGTCTTGCTCATTTAGTACGGGCATTCTTCACCTATTGGGCATATTGTCATGACTACGCAAATGATGTCATATCTGTACGCACGGGGCGAATACTGAGGTAAGATTCCCACCCTATTATCCACAATTTCTTATGAAACTGATAACACGGCTCAGCGTAATTGGCACCTGCCCAATGTGATGTTCAAGAATTGCATATTTGGTACCATATATTTCACGTGGTACCCAAATGGTAATGTTGTTAATTGTTAGGAGTTGGGACTACTCTCATGCTCTCGGTCCCGTAATTCATTTATTGGGTCAAATTTTTGAAGACTCTCAATCTTAAAAAATTCAAGATGTCACTCACTGTGTTTGTCCGAATAACAGCAAGCGAACCAAGGACTGGACTAGAAGGGTAGGGAACGATCGGCATTTGATATGCATAGAAGATCCATTTGAGGTGTCCCATGATCTGGGTCGAGTGGTAGACAAGTTCAGCATAAGAGTCCTAAGAGAGGAGTTTGAACGTGCCGCGGAAATAATGCAGCACGATCCAAATCCCTGTGTGAAGCTCTTTGAACCCTATGTTCCAAGCTGAACCACCACCACCATTGCCACCACCACCGCCACCACCACCACCACCACCCTGTGTGGCAGCCAAAAGAGAGTGAGATCCGGAGTGCGGTTCTGCTGTAAATTAATTGATTGCCAAGTCTAGTTTCTTCCTGCTGTTTGCCGTAATAATGTTCATAGGTTTTTGCGTGTATTTATTTTTCTAAGTTGCCATCCGTCCGGCTCGGGAGATAGATAAAGCTGGATGGAGAATGTATTTGAATTAAATGCTCAGTGTTTTATTATCCCATTTTCGTTGGTCTTGTTTTACTCTTTCTTGCAAAACTTGTTATGCTTCCTTTTTTTCGTTCGACTCAGAAAAATATTCCATTATATTCCTTTGAAAAAATGTGATTCAAAAAAATTCTCTTTTGTACTTTCTTTGTCTATTTTGGATTATAATCTTTGATAGAAATTATTTTCAATGTATCGGAATGATTATTTGAGAATTGAGGTGAATTAGAAAATTAAATTTACTTATATAAAAATTAACATTAAAAGTTTTTTAAAATAAAGAGTGACATGATTATTTTATTTTATGGAGTATCAAAGTAGTAACAAAATTAAGAAAATAAAATGAAAAAAATAATTTGATTATTTGAATAGTAAATATACAACTTAGTGTTTGTTTTATTCAACTTATTTTTTCAGTTGATTCTTATTAAAATCAGATCATACCAGCTTTTATCTAATCAAATCAGAAATAATTTAAATATAACTAAAATCAGAATGAATCTAATCAAATCCAATCTTTAAAAAATCAAATCAAGTTAGATGAACGAAACACAATCTTAATAGAAAAGAGAATGACTAAAAAAGGTTTTTTTTTTTTGTGAAAGAACAGACAAAGGGGTTAATGGAACTAATTTTCTATACTACAAGACGCATTGGAATTATTTGCATTCTATAGTGCAATGATAGTATAGATATATCTATAAAAAAAAGACTTTAAGGGGCAATAAAGGAGAGATCCAGAATTAGAAACATGTGGGTTGTGATGGGGAGCAACCATCACACACAAAACTTTACACAAAACTCTAATTCAATATACTTCTCAACTAATTGTCATAACATTACTGATACACCATCAAGGATGGAAGTTCATCTTTTATGAAAAAGACTTGCTTTCATTTGCATTTAGAAAGGATAGAGCAAACATAGGAAAACTTGGCATTATTTCCCCTAGCATCTTCAAAGATATTAACATACTCCTTATGAATAAGAAAAGACTTGGTCGGTATAGGTGGATGCATGTTCAAAACAAACATAGGAACTTGTAATGCAAAACATAACAAAAAAAAATTGATCCCCCACAAATATTGATAAATAATATGCAGAGTATTCCGTAATGGGCAATAAAGTCAGTTAAAATGCAACCAAGTCAGTCTACTTTAGGTCTTAAGCACAAATATACTACAATGTATATAGAAACAGAAGCTGGAAAAACAAGATACAAATTCAAGGGAAAAAAGCCCAAGGGCACAACATCATATGCTTAGGCGGTGTCATCTTCCCGAATGTTCATTCAAGTAGTATCAGATCGTTGAAAACGAATGGCCACATCCAAGTAGTCACCTATCTGCAGATAATCAAAAAAAGCAAATACAAGTCAAACACACATACGCTTTTATGCGAAAAAAATGGATCAGAAAAAGAGTGATGACATAATAAGTACCTCAAATTTAAGATCACTCAGTGTTTGGTGTCCACTGTCTGGTCGTCTTACACTTGGAATGGAATGTGTCTCTCCTACCTGTAAAACACTAACTTGTAAGCCACAAAAACAGCACATCCTTTTTAACCATCGTTAAAAATTCATCGAGTTCCCAAATTAAGAAGTGGAAAGTACATGTTTGACAATATATCGGCCAGTTTTAGCAGGATAGACAAAAGAGAAGGACAAAACAGCATCTCTTTTTCGTGCTTCAGGTACCACTTCTTTAACCTGAGACAAGATTGTATGAGAAATAAACGGTAAGCAAGGCAGTGTATTACCTCTAGTGCCATGGGTCATGAATCGATGAATCGTACTCATATATACTAAAAATTATTTTCTGGTTTGCCTAAATTTATCATATGTGACTTCTTGTTGTCAATGACTCTTTATTTATCAATTGTTTTGGCAAATTACAGTACATGAAAATATCAGATTTTCTCGACCAAACTTGGCACTTTCTTTTGGGACAAAAAGTGCTTAAAAGACAGCCCTTCTTTAGGAATCTGTGAGTAGTGAATTGGGGACCTGGTGGAGGGGTGCAAAGTAGTAAACAAAGTGATCTTGGCTAGATAAACTGGAAGTCGAGGTATGTTAGCAGCTATGTAATGATACCAGATCAGTGAGTTCACGTAGACTAGCATCCATCCAGGTATAAATTTGGACTTCATCTTTAGGCACCTTCCCCCTCACAGCAAAGTCACTCTCAGTGTGATGGCCTCCGACCTGTAAAATGAAATTTTAGAGCCCAGATCAGTCAGCCCCTGATGGATTACAAAGATGATAGCACTTTGAGACAGTTTGAATCTGTTATAAACATCATACATGAAAAAAGATGGGGGAATGATACTATGCCTTGTGAAACAATGGTATGAAACAATGTTCATACCTTAGTGAAAACACGAAGCAGCAGTGGACATGTCTGGCAGCGACGAGCCCAAAAAGTATAAGATAGAAACAGATAAAAATTAAAAATCATTAGTAGGGTAAACAGAGTAGACCAAATAGAGCATAAGCGCAGTGAGTATAGAGAAAACCTTAAAAAAACTTGAAGCAGCAACACAAATAGACAACATTTACGGATTATTTTACTCGTACAACTCGGGGAAAGGAATTGAAGCTATCGTACGAGCTCACCAATTCCAACTCTTATTAAAATTCGCATATGTTACAACAACCCCCTATTGCAAGGCATGCAAATCATGGAAAATAATGAACATTACATCTTACTATTCAAGCATTTGAAAATTCCTTTTACAGGTTTTCAACCTCTCCATCTCTACCTGTTATTATCATGTCATCACAGAATGACGATAACTAGCAATACACTTGGGAAATGTAAGTAGGGAGCATTCACAAAACATATGTCTATAATACACACAAGAATAAACAAACTGAAGAACATTAAGCAGTGAAAAAAGCCATTTTTTTGGCACTATAAACAACTCAATAGTAATTGAAAAGATACACGCTTCAGGATAAGGCGACAATTCCTACAGTTCACAGAGCGCCAAAACCCTAGAGACTCTCAATTAATCCGATGCTCGTGCACAAAAACCCAAAATCACTTGAAAGCACACAATATAGAAACCATTCCAGCTTAATATCTCTAAGAAAACACACGAATTCATGCATACAGATTAAACAGCGCTGTAGAACTCAAGTGGAGGTTTTACCTTCTCGCGATCAACGGGTTCGGATCGAGTGACGGGCTTTCCCTGCACCGGACCAGGCGGGCCTCTCGGCGGACCTGGTGGCATCGGCCTTCTCCTCTGCACATCCGCCATTGCTCCCTGGCTCTCTCCTCGACCGACCTCTCCCTTCTTTTTTGCTCTCCCCTTCTACTAAAAACTCAGAAGGTTGAATGAAAAAGGGGCCAATGAATTTATCGCGGATCTGATTTGGAAGCGCTCTACCTAAAATACTATAAGCCCAAACGTGAAATACTTAGAAGCCCATAACATTTCCAGTTTTTATTTATTTATTTTAAGCCCATAACATATCTCTCAACCTCATGACTTTGGGGCCGTCCTATAGATATTGAATTGGATAGTATAATACGGAGTATCACATTCAAACAAATAAGAAACCATCTACATCCGGCATTCGGTCTCTCTTTACGCTTAAAAAGTTGAGATTAATTGGAAGAGATATTACACTGATGGGTACGATAGCTACTAAAAAAATATAATTTCAATTAATCAAGTTTAGTATATCTTTTAGTCATTATACATTAGTCATTATTCAAGTTAATATTCGTTATTAGACATTTAATATTCGTTATCATAGGACATTATGGACATTATTAAATGTTATTTAAGCAATATAACAATTTAAGTACTATTTAGGAAAATAACTTAAGTTTTAGTGCTATTTAGTGCAAATATTTCTTTAGTATATCGAACACTGATGAACAAATTAAGTGATAATCACTAACCTTTTTTTTAAAAAATACTTTTATCCAACAACAAATACTCAAACGATTTGAATTAATTAAACATGAATGAATAGAGTATATACTCCCCTTGTCTTACAAAACCTTTCCTTTCTGAAAAAAATTGTGCCTTTAAAATGAGTAATTTTAATGTTATTTTTTAATTATGACTTATCTATCCTATACATTGCATCCTACTCTATTACTCCCTCCGTCCACAAATAAACTCAACATTGCGCGTTACGATGTTTGACTGAAGTTATTTTCAAATCATTTTATATGAAAAATGGTGTAGAATTGAAAAATAAAAATTACATATTAAAAAACGATATCAAAAGATCTACAAAACTAGAGGTGACATGACTATATTATTTTATCAAATGGGTGACGAAAATAGGCCAACAAAGTGAATAAAGTTTGACCCTGTACGTGAATAGTGAATGTAAAGTTTATTTGTGGACGGAGGGAGTATAAAGTAAGGGTAAATTAGAAAATAACACCAAAATTATACTCCGTACATTTTAAAGGTGTGCCTATTTTTCAAAAAGGAAAGGTTTTATGGGACGGATGGAGTATATTCTTGTCATTATTTCTTTTGAAAAAAGGATAAACCCCATCCCCGAGGGTCCCTCAGACTCGGCCGGACGGTCATTGAGAGGATGTAAATTATACTTTAATCGCAGATTGGTGGCAAAGGGTGGAATTTGCATCTGGTACTTCTTGCAGATGTCATATGCTAAGCATAGTTGCCTCCCAACGCAGTTGCAAGAAATCGAACTCGGGTCTTACTTCCTTGACATCTCTTGTCTTTACCAACTACGCAATCCCACGGGCTATCATTTTTTTGGGGAATGGGAACATAGTGATTAAGACAATGGAGAACTGTAGCACTAGTGGAGTAGTGGTCAAACAAAGGAGTAATAAATAATAATGATGATGAGAATATATATGAGCCATGAGATGATCACTTGCATGCAGCAGCAGCAGGAGGTGGGCGCGCTGGATAAAGAGAGCGGAGTGATTTCGCCGGAAATGGCAAAAAGTGTATTGATACCACACAATACTCTGCCCCCATCACCCCTTTCCTCTTAAGGAAACCTACAACCACCCCTACCAGTGTATTATTTGAACATTCAATATTAACCCCAACGTTTTAATATATTTTCAATTTTGTACCTTCAGGACGGTTCTCATGACATTCGAGGTGCAAATTCAAATAAACTTGCAGAGTGCAATTAAAGAAGGCCGCTGAAGATGTACGTTTTCGGGTCGGGAATGGGTGGGAGGTTTACCGAGAAGATTAGGAGGTAAGAATCGTAAATTTTGCACCGTAGCGGTCACGGTATGGAATATTTATACATATAACAAGAAGTGTTAAGTACTCGCCATAGGTGGGACTCGGAGTACATAATTATTGGGTATTGTTTTTGAATTGTTCCTTTTAAGCGACTTATTGTTATTTGTACTTCAAAAAAAGTATTAATTGCACTCCATCTTAATTTTTCAAGTCATTGAAGTGATAATTATGTCAAACTTCTCAATGTCTTGAGTGGTAAGAAACACGCTCCTCAGCAGAGACAAAAGCATTGACTCTTTGTATTTCTTCAGATTGAAAAAAAGATAATACTACATCATAATCGAACCAAAAACACTAACAAAAATGACCATTATGTCCTTTAATTCTTAGCCATGCCATGAATTACATCCAAAAAAAATCTCCCAATTTGAGTTAACACAAAATTTAGGTAAAGTAAAACTTGGTAGTAGAAAGTGATGCAAAGGAGAGAGAAGAGTTATGAATGACTCAATTTTTTTCGTAAAAGAAAAGATGAGTCTTTTTTTGAAACATTTCAAAAAGAAAATAATGATGAGAAATTTACTTAAATATCACTAAAACATAATGATTTTCCTTAAATAGCACCACATTTGTTTTTCTTCCCAATGTAGCACTTTTAATCATTATGCATTAGTCATTCTTCAAGTAAATATTCGTCATCACTGGACATTATGGATATTATTAAGTGCTCTTTAGATAATAAAACAATTTAAGTGCTATTTAGAGAAGTGACTTAAGTTTTAGTGCTATTTAGAACAAATATTTCAATAGTGATTTTTTTGGAACGAAGAAATATTTTTTCTTGCTTTTCCATGTTTTAGTTTTCGTCTTTTGTTATTTTGGTTTTTTCAACTATTCACTTCTTTTTTATTACTCCCCTCATTGCACTTGTTTCTTCACAAAACAATTTATGATGTTTTATTGAGATGTTATTTTAAATTCAATTTATATGTCAATTACAAAAAATTAAAAAAATTAAAAAAATTGTAATTGTATACAATTAAAAAAATTATACTCCGTATATAAAATATTATATAAAAAAATTACAAAAAAAAAGATAACATGACTGTACGACGTACGCATTAATTTATCACATAATATGTGAAAACATATTTTTTTAAAAAAAGAATTAATCTGACCATGTGAATAGTAATTGTAAAGAATCAAGTACGGCGAGTGGAAAATCTTTTGTAGGGATGAGCATGACTCATAGCTATAGAATGAGATGAAAAATGATGAGAAAGATAAAAACTGATGTGGCATTGAGTTGATTAAAATATGATGAAATTGATGGAAGGATAAATAACACCCACACTTTCCAAAATTGCGCGGAACAGCTTTTTGATATTCTCCTTTGAAATCTACCATTTGGGGCAGTATTAACCGCAAGTCACATGATTTAGCAATTTTTACAGTTTCTTGCGTTGTCTATTTCTTTGTGATACTCCATCAGTCCAAAATGTTTTTCAGCATTTCAAAAATGAGACAAAATATTAAGTTTTTCAATGTATTTTAATTACATATTGGTATAGAAATAAAAAATAAAATTTACATATTTAAAAACTTAAGAATATTTAGATGTCAAGAATATTTAAAAACTTAAGAATATTTAGATGTCAAAAATAAAATTTACATATTTAGATGTCAAGAATATTTTATTCTATCAAATAATCAATAAAAACATACAAATAAACAAAAGTTCTCGTGAGTATTGAAAAGGTAAATGTGCACTGACAAATATTTTGAGACAGAATAATACTTCATTCCTTCCACAAAACCCTTCCGGTTTTGACTTTGGGGAAAAATAAAGAAAGTGTAATTTTGGTTGACTTTCCAATTTTTCTCCTGATGTGATGGGTAAAAGTAAAATGTGATAATTTGGTTATTAGTGAAAAAGTATGATGTGATAGGTAGGGTATGAAAAAGTAGGGGTAAAAGTGGTTTTTTAATAGAAAGTAGAAGTATTTTGTGGAAAGCAAAAAAAACGAAAGAGGAAAGGTTTCGTGGAACGGAGTTAGTATTACTTTTAAGCTCTTTTAGTTTTTGCATTTATTGCCATTCACATAAACTTACAAGGAATTAACTTCACAAATGTGGGTGAATATAGTGCGACTTGCGTGGAGAGTTGAACGATGATGGACTATATTTTCTTCAAACAAATTAATATGAATTGATTTTAAGTGTTTGACCGAGTAAAAATGGTGTATTACTCCCTTCACCATAGGATTAATAATTACTCCCTCCTTTCTCAAAAACACTTCCTCTTTCATTTTTTTCACTTTTAACAAAACACTTCCCATTTCTATTAAAAAATCACTTTTACCCTTACTTTTTCATACTCTACCTATCACATCATACTTTTTCTCTAATAATAAATCCATCACATCTTACTTTTACCCATCACATCAGAGACAAAATTGGAAGTCAACTATAATTTTACACTTCTTTATTTTGCCTTATAGTCAAAGTGGGAAGACTTTTTCCAAACGGAGGGAGTGAAATTATGGAAAAATATAATTATAGATTTATAGGATTGTGATTAATTTAGAAATGAAACATTATTTATATAAATGTGTACACCCACGTGGGGAAAATATTATAATGATCTAGGGAAAATATATTAGTGTCCGTCTGGTATACGGAATTGGTGAAATTGAAACTGAATTATAATTGAAATTTCATAGGATTCAATTCCATAAAATTGAATTCACCAATTGCATTTCATTTTTTTGCACTTTGAATTCCAAATCCACATAATTTTTATACTATTAAACATCAGAATTGGAATTGAGGTCCTCAATTTCAATTCCATAATTTGAATTTCATGTACCAAACGAGATTGTAATATTCTCAACAACACAAGAACGGGTTTTGTTGGATATGATGTACCCAAAATTTACTATCTAAAATAGTGAGAATAAGGGAATATAATGGATTCAATAAAAAAGAAAAAGAAATAATCTTAAAAATATTCCCTCCGTCCCAGAAAGAATGTCACGTTTACTATTCTGGCCTCTCGATAACTTTTGTTTATTTACTCGTTTTGGTTGACCATTTGATAAAATAAAATATTCTTGTCGCATCTTGTTTTGTAGAACTTTTCATATACTTTTGAATGGTGTAATTTTTGCATTTTATTACTCTACCAATTTGAAATTAAAGTGATCTTAAAAAAGATGATATTTTGCACGTCGTTCGAAGTGTTGCAAATAAATTGGGACGGAGGGTGTATAAAGGATGCATATATATTTGGAGGATGTACTATACTACCTCCGTCCCAAAAAGATTTACACATTTTGACTAAAGTTGAAATTAAGGGAGGGATAATTTTGTGTTTAATTTTCAAAAATACCCTTGATGTGATGGGTAAAAGTAGGATGTGATGTGTAGATTATTAAGAAAAAGATATGATGTGATAGATAGGGTTTGAAAAAGTAAAGGGTAAAAGTAGTTTTTTAATAGAAATGGGTAGGAGATTGTGGGACGCAATTTTTTTGAAAGGTGTAAATCTTTTTGGGACGGAGGGAGTGTTAATTTCCATTTTGATGCTACGAGAGAAGGGTCAAGATTGAGCCTTTTACCTGTGTTTCTTCGCCATTTTTAAGGAAGAGGAAAGGAATTACCACTCCTATACCATAGGTCCCCCCCCCCCCACACACCTACCCTATAGCTACCCCCTTCCATTTTTTAAACCCCATTTGTTACCCATATGTTGTTTTAATTTTAAATAGATAACCTGGTATGTCCCAAAAAAAGAATAATACTTACTTGCGGAATTGTTATTTTCAATGTTTTAATCAAACGGGTTCGAAACGAACGAGTTAAGTTGAAGCTAATAAGTTATGTTTGAACTTTTCCCTGGCGTAAGTGGCATAAAAACACTCCAAAGGTTTTGATTGAGAAATTTAAGTAGGTTAGAATTCTAGCAAAGTGGCTCAATTGGCTGATATAATATATGTATGAATATATACTACTCCGTATATTATAATCGGTAAGGTTCTAATGACACCGGAGTACGGTGACACTCTGGTGCCACTGTCACTTTGGAGCAGTAATTCCGGTGCTCCGTTTGCAAAATTAATGGTTCCTACCCCCATAAACCTCCTACCTAGTCCCACACCCTGCCTCCACCTAGCCCCCCTCCAAATGTGTGGTTATTCTGAATTGCTTTTATAATTTTGTTAGTTTAAGTTTAGAGGTGGCTCCGTTTTAGGGACGCGATGTATATTTTTATACGGGGAGTAGTACTTTCATTTATACACACACACACACAGATATATATTACACAACCCGCGCGTATATAGTGATATATATATATATATATATATATATATATATATATATATATATATATATACATTGGTTGAATTGCTTAATTATAATGAGATCATCAAGAAAAGGTAGCGGCGGCCCAGAGAGAGAGAGATCAGAGGATGGGGAGGGGGAGAGTGGAAATGAAGAGAATAGAGAACAAAATAAACAGGCAGGTCACATTCTCAAAGAGGAGAATTGGGCTTTTCAAGAAAGCTTTTGAGCTCTCCGTTCTCTGTGATGCCGAAGTTGCCCTCATCGTCTTCTCCAGCCGCGGCAAGCTTTTCGACTTTGCCACTTGCAGGTTTTCATTTTTACACATACATACATACATTTCCTCTTTTCATTTCATTCATTCTTCTCTTTTTTTTATTTTATTTTATTTTACTGATGACTACGTGATGATATACTATGAGCTTTTTTTTCGTTTTTGTTGTTGTTTAACGTTAATTTACTACCTGCTAGGGTTTCTCTCCCTCTCTTTCTCACTAATAATATATAGTCATTAAGAAACTCCCACCGCACTTTAATTAACTAATTCGTGTTTAATTAATTAATTAAAGGTGGGGATTTCACAAATCAATTAGCTAGTAATAATAAATAATCCACTTCATCAGACGGGAAAGTGGGGTTAGTTTACCTCATCTTCATCATCATGATGATCAACTTTTGTCTTCTTCCCTATGTCTTCATATAATTTTCTTTCTCCAATAATTTTTATCTTCTTGGTTGAATAATTGTTAAAATTGTGAGATTTAATTAATTCCAAAGAACAATCGAGAATGGAAAGAGAAATAATTTATATACCGAGTTTTCAAAACGTAATTAGGACGATAATGTTATTGGATAATCCTTAATTAACCGTACAGTATGAATATTATGATGATGATGTTTTTTTATTTTTATTTTGGTGCAACTTCAATTCTTTGTGATGACTCATGATGGATCTTTTATGCATTTGGAAGAACAGAACAGAGATGTTTCATGTAGTAAGTGTGAAAATTTGACCGACGACCAATTTTTATTTCATTTGTTACAAGTATCCATCAGCGGTATATTTGTCAGTTTACAGTTCGTAGGTACTAGCTTCTTTTTTTTTTGCTAAGGAGACGAATACTTCTCCCCTCATACTCACATCCTTCCAAAAAAAATTGTCTTGATTTTTTTGTGTGTTAATTTTATTTTATATTTAGCTAAGAAAAATATTGTGTTTAATTATAATTTAGATTTAATATAATTGGATTCGTAAGATCACGCTAAGCGATTGGAATGACCCCTTTGCAAAAGGACGATTCTTATATCCTTTTATCAAAGGCCGACCTCATGATTCGTTGGACTAGCAACTATGAAAATAAATTTCTTTCCAAAGTAAAAACGCAAGTCATTTTTTTGCAAAATATTTTTTCTCAATTTTTATTTTCGAATTCACCTCTTATAAATGTTACCAAATATTGATAATTAGAATTGACATTTTTTAGAAAAATATTTTTTCCAACCAAAGAGAGCCTAAAGTTTTAATTTTGTCTAGCCACGTAAACTCTCTTCATATATGCTTTTTATTATTGAAAATAGTAGAGTCACAGACAAATAGTTTACAAACTTCATAAATCTATGAATTTTAAATTAAAATAATCTTTTATTATTTAAATGCATCTTATTCATTTATAGTGAAATATTAAAAAAACAAATTTGTGAATTTTGTGAACTGTTTATTTGTGACTCCAGCATTACTCTTTTATTACAACATGAATAGCTTTTGCACTTCAAAAAAATGAAATCTGTCTTTAGGCCTTAAATAAGGGCCAAAAACATACTTTAATTTATGTAATTCAATACAAGGAAAATGTTTTGTAATTCAATTTTCTCTATTTGTGTAATTCTTAAAAACCTCTCTGCATATATGTTCCTTGCAGCGGCGGCATGATCAAAACCCTTGAGCGCTACCAAAATTCCAAACTTAATCTTACTCAACAACAAATCTCCACTGCTGGTAGAGATAGAGAAACCCAGCTGCAGGTTCCAATTCCATCCCCATATATATATGTGTGTGTGTGTGTGTGTGATTTTTTCCCAAATTAATCATCATATGTGTATATAGATGCAACCAATTAGTTATTCTCCCTATATCCAGTCCATATTTCCTTTCCAATTTAACTTTTCACGGTCTGTAACTCGACAGCAGTTTACTGTCTCGCTATTGAAATCAAAATTTTAATTTGTTGCACATTTTTGTTACACAGAGCTGCCCGTACCGTGACGAGTTTCTAACACTCAAAGCCACGTATGAATCTCTTCAAAGAACTCAAAGGTCATCCATATACATACACATTATATATTGCTCTCACCTTAAATTAATTAAAAAAAAACATGTCCCATATATAATGCCATTTGCTGGTTTTGTTTGGTGAATTGCAGGAATCTGCTTGGAGAAGATCTGGGCCAACTCGACATCAGAGAGTTGGATAATCTCGAGAAACAGCTTGAAAGTGCTCTTGCACAAGCCAGGCAAAGAAGGGTTAGTTTTGCTTGCGTATGTGATGAAGAACTTTAACTTTCTTTTGTATCCTTTGCTTGCAAAATGAGTAGTATATGGGTTGTGTATGTGTTTATATATGCAGGCTGAAATTCTGATGGAACAGATGGATGAACTTCGAAGAAAGGTTCAAACTTTTCCATTTTCCAATAATTTTGAGTTTCAATTAGAATGTACTCTACTATTCAAGGAAACAAATGAAGTTGACATATATATATATATAATATATGAGTAATGAATAAGCAGGAGAGGCATCTAATTGCTATGAATAAGCAGCTGAAGATCAAAGTTTCAGAAGAATTGTCATTGGTACTCCTATTATTTCGTCTTAAAAAAGTTATTATGATTTTAGAATAGTACAGTGTGAAATCCATTTAGGGACGGAGGGAGGATGTATACATATTTATAGTTTATGGAAGTGTTTTTATTTCTCTGATATGCATTTATGATCATCTGCAGCTTGAAGGGGGAAGGGGGGGAGGAGGAGGAGCTGGAGGCAGCTTTTTCTTCCCCTGGAATGATAACAATAGTACCTCTAATAACAACAGCAACAACAACAACCAATCCACCCCATGTGTCTCCTTTCATCTCCTACAGCCTTCTCAATCCGACCACGGCCCCCAACCCTTTCTCCAAATCGGGTATGTATTTCTTCTTCGCTCTCCATTTGTCCTCAATTAAGGTTCTTCACTTGACCAGACACAATATATATATGTATACATACATACATATGGCATGGGTGCAGGTATGATCACTATATGGGGGCAGAAGTAGGATCCTCTGGGACAAGGGACATTGAATCGGAGTGCAACGTTTACCACGGCTGGAACTTTTCACCTTTCTGAACCATACCCACCCTACCTAACCCATCTCCTACCTAGCTATATAGTTATTCATATATACATATACTTTTGGTAAAGTCCTCTCCTATATATACACATATGCGTACTACTACATTATCATAGATACTCATTATCTACTGGAGTCTTCTCTTTTGGTGGTATTTATATCATATGTTGTTTATCTAGTCTAGCTGCATATATGGGCATTGAAGAACATATTTCAACTTTAGTGATATGATAGAGTTTAAGAGTAGATAGAAATCACTCAACTCAACTCAACTCAACTGTATTCTAGACTAAATGCTTGAATCCATATGACTAATTAGCTAGTTCAGCATGGAATATCTTGCGGAGTATATGAACACATATTTTTTCATTCTTATTACGATGCGGGATTCTCTTAACGCTGAAATAAGATCATTAGAGAGTTGTGCTTAAATCATGTGCACCAAAACAACCCATTGCAAAGGCTGGTTTTTCAAGCAGTTAAAACCAAAACAACAGGACATTTGAGTAGAGCATTGGAACTATTTGAGGGCTGCCAATCTGCCATTTAAGTTTACAGTTGCAATTAAATGAGCCACTCGCGTTAAATTGCTATACACATAGGTGTTTTATTCTTTGCTTATAAATTCAAAATGGAAATGGATGAAGATGAATATCTATGTATGCAACAACAACAACAACAACAAAGCCAAGAAATCCAGTAAAATCTCACAAAGAAGAGTGTCTGGGAAGGATGGTGCGCGCAGACCTTACCCTTATCTCGAAGGTATGTCGCGAGGACAATGTTTCTAAGAGAATTGATCTCTATCTATGTGCGGGGGCGCATATAAGTAGAAGTATTAGTTGTAGGTTGAAGGAAAACAGGGGGATCTGGCTTTGCCCTACTCTCTGGCAGTCCAATATACAGTTCAGTCTCCACATCTGACTTCTCACTGCCCTCCCCACAAAGGGCATCCCTCTCATTCCCTTCATTTGCCACTTTCTCAGCTGGTTCCAATGACTTGTACTGAAGAACATTATATTGGTAAGTCAATAAACTAAGCCAACATTAATGCTATCACTTTTCTTCAAGAAATGAACTAAAATATTTTATCACCTTCTCCCGGAGTATTGCATTCTCAGCTGTTAGCAATGATTCCTATATATATATGCATATATTGCCATTGATAAAAAGACATGAATATCAGTAAATTTGGTTTTTTTGTTAATCAGACTGATGTCAAAAGGCAACCTTAACATGGAAAATAGCAAAAGCTTAACCTTATCTTTTAATCTCTGAATCTGTTCAGTATAGACTTCCATCTGAAAACAACATATATGAACAAAGAGGATAAGGATATATATCAAAGCGATGTTGATCTAAAGGTCACAAGTTCGAGTTTAACCTGCTTTAATTTTTAAAAAAATAAATGTTCACACGCGGTTCGTTAATTACCTTTCGTGCACGGATGATGCTCACGCTCCGCTCCAACTGTTGCTCTATGTGCTGTAACTCTTCCATGCCACATGATCCCAAATCTTCACCCAGAAGTTTCCTGTAAATCATTTAATTTGCTTCTAATTTAGTACTAAATTTATCAGGAGACAACAAAGAATACCTCAAGATAAATAATGGAATCACATTTTATACATATGTACCTCTTTGAAGCTTCAAGGAAATCTATTTTTTTGGCCAGGTATTCAGTTTCATGCAACAAATGCTACAAGTTCAAACAAGCTTCATTCATTCAGGCTTAAGCTAATAAGTTCATTTTTGTTTCTCATGCCATCTTAAACAGATCCATTCAGAGATAGAGAATAAAGGAGGATAATATTGTAATAGTAACCTGCAAGTCCTCTTCGTGTTCCACCGAGGGGTTTTCACCTTGACGATCTGCAGTGTGCTTGCGATATCGCGCTATAATCTCCTGCATGCTGCTGAGGCCGAGCATAAAAAAATTGTCATACTGTGAAAACTATAGGTTTTTTTTTACTGCAAAGTGGGCAATCATAAATTAAAATGATTTATGAACATCAGAGTAATGAGATGAGAGTAAGAGTTGTGAGCTTCCAAAATTGATATTAGCACCAAAATTAAAGTATGTTTTCATGAGAAACAAACTGAAAAAATAGAGTGAAAGTATCAAGTTTGAAAGTGATCATAGAAATATGAAGAATGAATGATTGTAAATGAACTGTTTAGAATCATGCTACAAAAATATGAAGAATGAATGATTGTAAATGAACTAAGCAAGAGCAAGAAATACTCATTTGAGTTCATTTTGATATAGTTTATCCAAGTTTGAGTTTGGTTAACTTTCATTGTCAAGTTAGCCAAAGTGCTGAATGATTTCATCAACATGGCTAATTTTCATAGTCCGTTTCATCTATAACACCTAATAATAATTCAAATAACAATAATAATTCCTAATTATTAATTCCCTATTTAAATCTTTTGTAACTCCTTTTTCATTATGTAAATATTCTCATTTATGTAGGCATTTTGTAAAATTTATTACTAGTGATTAATTCTCTTGTATATGGAGCATGGTTTGTAACGATCAAAATCAGTCTATATTTTCGAGTTAATATTTCATATGGTATCGAAGCCTAAAGGAGTTCATCATTTCCCTAACACTATGTTTGGTTCAAGGAATTTGGAAGGAAAAGAAAAGAAAACGAGTTTCCCTCATTTTCCTCACCAAAATGAGAGGAATTTGGTTTCCCTTCACTTGGAACATTTTGCCTTCTCATTTTCTTTTTCTTCCACTTTTTTGTTTCTTTTTCTCTCTAACCAAACAAGAAAAACTGTTTTCCACTTCATTTTCTTTTCTTTTCCCTTTCAAATTCTTTCGACCAAACATAGTGTTAGTGATCCTCTATGTTTCGTGTGTGTTCTTTGCCAACACCTACCAAAGACACCACCGGTCTGCAACTACATGCAAAAACACATTTTCCCATCAAACTGACTCCCACCAATTTCTCAATCTAGCAACGCCAAGTTCGATCAATGCACATTGGCCTAGACCTTCTAGGCTACATTGATGGCTCCCCACGCCACCTCCAAAGGTCGTTGACGGCACCGCCAAACCCTGTTACTCTGTCCGGTTCAGAAGAGATCAATCCTTTGTCAGTGCTCTCCTTTGCAGTTGCTCCGACCGATTCAACCTCTTATCTCCAATGCAGAAACATCCCAGGAAGCCCTGACAAACCTGCACTCTAGTTTTGCAAACAAAAGTAGGGAGCGTGTCGTTACCCTGAAGTCGAAGCTTGGAAACAACACACGCGGCACGCGCTCCATTGTTAATTAACTTCATGATATGCAATCAATTACAAATGAACTTGCACTTTTCTAATGCCCTGTGTCCGAATAAATATGGTTGTCAATGTCCTCAATCAGGTTGGAGATGAATATGGCGCCTTGTTTCTGTTGCCCGTGTTTGTGAAACCTCGACACAATTCACCAAACTCAGTGACATTCTTAAAGATCATGAGGCTAAGTTAAAGGCCTCAGACAAAGCGCACCAAACACTTATTACCACTACAAATGCCAAGCATCGGGCTGGCTAGTCCCTGCGGTATCACACCGGCTAGAGCTCTTAGACGTCCACCAATCGGGCTGCCACATGGCCGTCAGGTCGTGAAGGGTATACCAACCCCATTCACCAATCTCTCACTCTTTCGATTCTTGTCAATACTACAGCATCCCTGGTCATCCAACACTTTCATGTCCATGTAGCTCTTCGACAGTGGCGCTAGCCACCACACCATGCCAACTCCGCATGTCATGTAGTCCTTCTCTGACTATGGTGGTTCTGATGAGATATGCTTGGGTAACAATAATGGTTTGAAAATCACTCACACTGGCAAAACACTTATCCCTACACGTACTCTCTCATCTCCTCTCACTCACCAATATTTTATGTGTTTCCAATCTTCACAAAAACATTGTCTCTCTTTCACAATAATGTCACTAACCATGTGTCTGTTGAATATTTTTCCTCTTATTTTTATGTGAAGGATTTGAAATAAGGGGCATGTCTCCTCTGTAGAACCAATCTTAATGGAGTCTATTAAAAGTCACAAGATGCCATTTCATGAAAATACTCTTATTAGCCAAAAAAAAACCCTTGAACTAATATATACTGACGTTTAGGGTTGTTTTGAGATTTCATATGATGGGTACCGCCATTATGTCATTTTTGATCACTTTACAAAATATATCTGGCTATATCCCCTAAAAAATCAAAAGTATTTCTAGTGTTTCTCGTGTACAAACATCTTGTTGAAAAATACTACACGACGTTCTTTTGTCTACCGTACCGTGTCTTTGGCTTTTGGTAGTTTGTAGCCAACGTGTACGTGTGGATTTTAGCTCTTGCTGTTTGGTGCTTCTTCTCTCTCTTTGCTCTTTACTCATTTTGCATTATTGATATTAGGATATGTTTGAGCTAGGGATCTTTTGAAAACAACCTCTCTACTTTCTAGTAGTGGTAATGTGTGTGTACACTCACCCTTTCCAAGTCCTACTTTGTCTTGTACTATACTGGATTTTTCATTGTTGGATATGCACATAAAATGTCATATGTTGTATCTTATATGTGACAAAATACTATATGCACAATGATGACCCTTATATGTGATGGGTGAGCCTTATGTGCTAACATGCATGTTGATGAATCCTTTTCCATTGCAAAAGTCTTTTCGTACCAACTTCCTAGTGACTCTTTTGTTATTACGCTCTTGACATTTTTGTTGTAGTTTTTGTCAATTTAGAAGATATTTGACTTTATGATATATTGTTAGACACATTTTATTGACCTCTAATTTGTGTTATATGCTTTAACCAATAATTAATTTCTATCATCTCCGATGGAGCCAAAAATATACGATCTTTAGCTTTGGGGTATGATAAAATAAAACAAAATGGATCTCTCTAAACTGTCTGCTCTTCTTTAATTAATGAAGTAGCAGTTAGTCAATCATGCAACTTTCGATGCTGAGCCAGGGGTCTCTTTCCAAACAGCCTCTCTACTTTCGAGTAGGGGTAAGGTTACACACCCGCTCCCCAGACCTTACTTTTTTGCGATTCAACTGGGTTGTTGTTGTTTTTGTTACTTTAACCAATAATTACTATCTATTTTTAATGGGCTTGCTTTGTATGAGTACTTATTTGGTTAGCCTAATGTTAAGTTTTGTCGAGTAAAAATAAGGTGTCTCGCAAGATGGGTGATAACATTTCTTACAAATTGTGGAAAGGTAAGAAAGTTTGTACCAATACCTCAAAGTGTGGTATGTCTTCAAAAGCATTAGAGAATGTTTCTACTTAGACAAATGCTTATGAACTAAGAACAAAGCTTGAGACCTAGATTCCAAAGAAAATATCCCTTAAAAATTCAATTGAGTTTCACGATTTGTTAAACTAGAGTGTAAGGATGGTCATGGTATGATTGAACAGTTGATAACATTAAAGGCTCATAACTCCGTTAACAAAAATGGAAATGAAGATTGATGAATACAGATGTAGACGATAATTGAATTCTCAGGTACTCATTTACAACTCTATACACCTCAATCTTATCTTTGTTGGAAAACAAAACGGTGTAGGTTTAATGATTTGTTTTTGTGAAAGTAACTGGAAGCTCATCAAAGGAATTTAATTGTGGATCACGAAAAAAAGGAAGGATCATGATAGGTAATGCAAGCAAAGATTTGCAAATAAGAGTAATAAACATCACCATTAATGATATGACATAAATAATTTGGACACAGCCGCAAGAAGGATCTTCACATACTTACCCAAAAACATCTCCCTAACGTGAAAGGTAAATAACTTGAGCGTTGTACTCATTGTCCAAAGATGAGCAAACTAAACTTTACTCAAAGACAAGACTACATCTACCTACATTCATTTAAGTATGAATTCAAATACCATCTTTAGGATCTAATCAACAAGAAGGTTGTTTACAACAGGGACATTCAATTCATCAAAGACCAAACATGCCAAGATATTAAAAATTTGGAGAGGCCAAAATGAAGAAGCAATTATAGCACGAGACTCAGTTTAGTTTGATGTAAGGACAACGATACACTAGAAAACATTGATGTTGAAGATCATGAACATGTATTAGCAATCTATATCTCCCACAACACAAAAACCAGGAGAATCCTCAAGGGATAGAATATCATCACTTATTATAACAAAAATAGTGCAGTACACTCACTGGTGAGGGGCATCTATATAAAACTAATCGTGGATACTCATAAAGAAGAGTGAAGAAGAGTCGTGCAAGAATAGACGCAATCTTTGCATGAGAATCATATATTTATGAACTAACGGAGTTACCAAAAGGGAGAAAATATTCTAAGAAGAAGTAAATATATATATAATTATGACCAAATACAATAACTCAAAGCATCGCTATAAAGCATAATTGCTCGTTGAAGAATGCACACAAAAAAAGGTATTGGATTTTATTTTTCCCATGGTAAAGATGTCATCCATCTTTGTTGTCCTTAGCCTAGTACCACTGTAACATTGGGAGATTGAACAACTCAATTTTAAAACAAGCAGATGACATTCCAGAGAATGTGGACGAAAAGATCTATATCGATTTTCTATATCTGCGTGTAACTTCCAAAAGATGATTATGCTTTGAAAAAAATATGTTGGAATGACACATATATACAAACTTGGCTATAAATATTGATTTAAAGAAATCAATATCGAGATACCTAACTACTTTTGTAAGCGGTGTTATTTCTTAGAAATCAAAACTCAAAAAATTTTTTACATTATCTACTACTAAGGTAGAGTACATTGCAACTACAAAAGCTTGCAAGGAGATGTAGTGAATGAAGAACTTGTTACTGGAGTTGGCAAACAACTAAACATTTCATTCACGCACAAAGCACCTTAACACCAGGTACCATTTGATCCGAGGAGTCATAAAAAATGCATCTTGACAATGTTTATATACTTGAGAATTGGTCAGACATGAAGACAAAGGTAATATTAACAAATAAGTTTGAAGATTGTTGTACGCAAATGGTGCATGTTTGATTTTTATTACACCTAATTAAGTCTAGAGGGGAGATTTGTTGGTATCACTCATTCATTGGAGAAGTTCTAAAAATTCTATAACTTTCTAAAGAAGTGTAAAATTTTCTAGAATGATTTAAAGAAATCTAGAGAAGTGTAAAACTTGCTAAAAGCTAGCAAAACAAAGTGAAATCCTATGGAATTCATAGGAACACGTGGAATCATCTGAAACCTCATGGAAGCGTATGGAAGGATAATATTGAAGTGCTCGAGTACTGGAAGAATGTTGAGATTCTTAGAATGTGTGGAGCATTTTAGAGGATTAATCCACACCGATACAAGTAATATCTATCATTCATTATGGATGTGGAATTGTATAAATTGAGGTAAGAGGCTCATGTCTAATTATCTAAAATCAAGAGAGAAGTCACTTCTTAATGAAGTGAGATTAGCTAGAGAGTTAGAAATCCTCTCTTGAATTGGTACGAAAAGAGATAGCTTGAGAAGTCTTTATCCTCTAGATTGAGTGAGTCACTATAGTGTGAGTTGATTTTGTAAATTCAACAACTATTCAGTTGAATTCCAAAAAATTAAAATAGAGTTTAAAGAGGGTGGGTGTACGAAGACTTTACTCTTACTCAAAAGTAGATAGTCTGTTTCCAAAGAAATCCTCGGTTCAAGCACCATAAGTAATGACGTACGTTGTCTAACCCTTATGTTTAAAACATTGAGTCATTATTTCTGAATGACCCATGATGAGCGTCGAAAGGTGCATTGACTAACGGTTACTTCACTATTAAAAGAATTGGAAGCATAGACATTTTAAATAACCATTTTTCTTTATTCCACTATACCCCAAAGCCAAAAAAATAACAATTTTGTAAATATATTTTTTATACGGTGGGGTTCTAGTGACACCCATCTTTGGTGACACTAGCGGTACCACTGTCATATTGGGGGACTTCCGGTGCTCTGTTTGTAAAAGTGGCGGTTCCTACCCCTCTTAACCCACCCCTTAAACCCCTCCACCATATCCCCGCCCCTGCACCCCCACCCCAACCCCGCCGTAAGCCCCCCACAAAATGTGTGGCTATTATACACATTTTGTGGAGGGCTTACGGCGGGGTTGGGGTGGGGCCGTGGGGGTGCAGGGGCAGGGTAGGGTGGGGGGTTTAGGGGGTGGATTAGGAGTGGTAAGAACCGTCAATTTTACAAACGGAATACCGGAAGTGCCCCAAAATGACGGTGACACCGGAGTGTCACCGTACTTCGGTGTCACTAGAACTCCACCGTTTTTTTATATTTTACTATCCATTTCTATTGTAGGAGAATCTTCATTTCTATATATTTTACTATTCATTTCTGGCCGTAATATGATGTAATTATGACACTGGAATCGAAATCATAACATGTCACTTTTATTACTCCGTTTTATAATAAGGTTTATTTAGAGGATTATATGATATACTACCCGCAATTCATGAGCATATATGCAGGCGAACTGTAGTCTTTTATAATTGGAATATAGCAACACATATACTCCGTAATAAATTATGTGTGTATATGCTACGACATGAATTAAATTTGAGCATTGACCATGCATACTAATAACAACAATAAAATAATAATAATAATAATAATAATAATAATAATAATAATAGTTGTTGTTGTATATAGTACTCCCTCCTATCCATTTATTAAAAGAATTCATGTTTTGACTCGAAATGAATTTTCGTAGTTTGACCTTTCAATTATATCTTTATATTGAAGAACAAAGAGACAAATCATTAAATGACTTATTATATCAATGCAAATTAAATGAAGTATATTGCAAAGACTTAATTTAGGTATATTAGTCATTTTTTACGAAAATAAAAATATTTTAAGGAAAATGAAAAAAATGAAAGAAAAATTGTTTTAAAAAAGAGGAGTGCTGCGGTATTCAATTCATATACTACTACTTATATACTCCAAGGTTTTATTCTGATCTGTTTACATAAATTTATCATGATTATAAAGTCAAGTCTTCAAGTAACTAATTTCGTTTCAAGTAGTCCATGTAATTCCATTTAAGCTAGCTAATTTATGAATTGAAGTATACAGACATACACTAATTAATTACTATCTTCAATTCATGTGTACTTAGATAAGAAAAAAGTTGTAAGAATGTTAATATCAGGGTTTGACCCAAACATTGAGCCCTTCCACCTATCAGAAACACAATTAATATACTCCCTCCCTCCCATAAAATCTTTCTCCTTTCTTTTTTCATCCGTCCCATAAAACACTTCTAAATTCTATTAAAAAATCACTTTTACCACTTACTTTTTCATACCCTACCTATCACATCATACCTTTTAAATAATAATCTACCCATCAAATCCTACTTTTACCCATCACATCAAAAGACATTTTTTGAAATTCAATACCAAAATACACTCCTTTAAATATCTTCAAAATGAAAAACATCCCATGTTTCATGGGACGGAGGGAGTATTAACTTGTTACTCCATATTTAATTTGTCACAAAATCTTACTCCCTCCGTCCCAAATTATTTGCAACGTTTGCTTTTTCAGCCGTCGCGGGAATTTTTGTTTATTTCTACGTTTTCATTGGTTATTTGATAAAATGAAATATTCTTGACACATCTTATTTCGAAGAACTTTTCATGTGGTTTTTTGATATGTAAATTTTATTTTTTATTTCTATACCAATATGTAAATAAAATAAATTGAAAAAACTTAATATTTTGTCTTGAGAATACAAATGTGACAAATATTTAGAAATGGAGGGAGTATGAAAAATGGTTGAGATTCCTCTTTTTGGTAATATAGTACAAAAGGACTGTTGTAGTCCAGCTAGCTAAGGGCCTTTTGATAATATCAGCACATGTTTATATATACATACGAAATTAATGCCACCTCTATCTATAATACATACATACTCCGTATATGGATTGAATTTAGAAATATTTGCAATAAATAACATTAAAACTTAAGGCATTTTCTTAAATAGCACTTAAACTGTTTTCTTCCCTAAATAACACTTAATAATGTCCATAATGTCTAGTGATGACGAATATTTGCTTGAATAATGACTAATGCATAATGACTAAAAGTGCTACATTGGGAAGAAAAATACATGTGGTGCTATTTAGAGAAAGTCATTATATTTTAGTGCTATTTAAGTAAATTCCTCTTGAATTTATACGAGCACTCGAAATGGGTATAAGGCTGACCCCGTAAAACGTCAGTTTAACAACGTTATGACGTTAAACACCGCCACACTCGTGGCGTTAAACGTATTGTGTTAAACGTTTAGGGCAAAAGCATGGAAGATTTTTTTTCTTCTATTCTTTTTAACAATAACACCCTCTTTTTCTATTTTAGTAACCATTTTCAAATGAGTCGTTCATTGTTTTTACGATTACTACATGATATTGAACGAGAGGTTATTTGGTTCACTCAACGGGTTGATGGGAGAGGCCGGTGTGGTGTTAGCAGCGTCCAAAAGTGTACCATCGCACTTCATTAGATGGCGTACAAAACCGCTAGTGATATGTTTGACGAATATTTAAAGATGTCGGCTCGAAACATCAGGTCAGGTGTTTATAAATTCTCTAATCACGCCTTTATCGGCATGCTCGGAAGCATCGATTGCACGCATTGGGAATGTAAAAATTGTCCCACTGCGTGACATGGTCAAAATTTACGAGGTGATTATCCCAAAGCTTCTATTATGCTTTAAGCAGTGGCTTCGAACGACCTATAGTTTTAGCATGCTTTTTTTGTGTTGCCTGCTCGAACAGTGACACAAATAGTCTTGATCAATTGCTCATATTTGACGATTGGTTTAATGAGACTGCACTCGACTTCTCTTTTGAGCTTAGAGGGATACTTTACGAGCGTGGATATTATCTTGCCGATGCAATATATCTAGATTATTCCATAATTGGCAAGTCGTTCTTGGAACCAATCGGTCTAAAGCGGCAGATGTAGGAAAAACCTCATGAGGCGGCAAAAAGAATATCGAACTAGCCTTAGAGGTGTTGAAGGGTAAGTGCCTAAGTGGCACATTATAAGTAGTCGACCGTCTAAGGGTTATTCTCAAAGGAAAATAAGAAACATTATGTACACATTTATTTATTCTCCATAATATGATTATAGAAGACAATGAATTTGAAACTTGTCATTACAACCCGAATGAGGAGACACCTACCTACGAAGAAATCAAAGAAATAAAAATGAAGAAATCGACAAGAAATTCAAAGGTGAGAGAGTCATGAGGCACTATATATAATAAGAGATGAGAAAGGGAATTAATTAAAGTAGAATGGCTGACCTGGAGCTGGCGAACTCATAGAGCTTTCCTCTTGGGGAGAAGACGATGAGGGCCACCTGAGCGTCGCAAAGCACAGACAGCTCAAAGGCTTTCTTGAGAAGCCCATTTCTCCTCTTCGAGAACGTCACTTGCCTGCTCGTCGCGTTCTCTATACGCCTCAGCTCCGTTTTCCCCCTCACCATTTTATATATATATATATATATATATATATATATATATATATATATATATATATATATATATATATATTCTTCTCCGATCCTAATTAGGCTTCTCTCTCTCTCTCCCTTCCTTAATCCTTAGCTAGCTAGCTTTATTTATTTATTTATTTATTTATATTTCTCTTAATTGCTCAATTACCTTGCACCTAATAATATTATGTAGGGTCCTTTCCGCCCGCCCGGATCTCTCCCAACTCCTCCTAGCTACCTTCACAAACAAACAAGCACAATCAAATAAATTACAGCATTATTATAATTATCCAAGTTCAATCATTAATATAATCTTTCTTAATTATATATATATATATAACCTAGCTATCGTCGTCGGTCGTCTCAAAATAACAATTGGATTTAATGGAAGCACAATTAAAATTATGATTGGTCCAGTGGATGGAAGCTCAGCTCGTAATTAATTTATTAATAAGCTATATATATATGTATATATATATATATATATATATATATATATATATAGTAGCTACAAATTAATTAATTAAAGACCAGAGAAAAGGGAATATTATTAATACAATAATATTGCATTGATCCATCGATCATTACACACACACACCAAAGAATTACGGTGTGTGTATATATATGTATATATGTATCTACACATACATACATACCTCGATCGATCTGCAAAAAGGGAAAAAAGAGGAGATTATCCAGCAAGCAAGCAGATCGATGATGATGATGATGATCCAGGATGATGCATATATATATGTATGTGTGTGTGTATAGATAGATATAGATATATAGAGGCAGGGAGTATATATATGAAGGAAGCTTAATTAGGTAAGTAGTTTTTTGGGGTGATATAATTGGATCCAGATGATGATGGAGGAGCATAGTACTACTACTACTACTAGTAGTACCTACCCATTTTGGGAGGTAAATGCCATACATATACTATTCTCTTTAAAAGAAACTTTCCATTTCCTACCTCATCACTCACCTCCTTAATTAACCTATACCCTACATCTTTCTACTTGATTTTTTTTTACCAATTCTTGATTTCATACTTGGATTATTGGTATCTTCATTTATGTATGGATACATTTTATGAAAATTTTATATTTCAAAAGTACGTTTCATATAATGTATTGCTATTACATTTATATCGAAACAAAATGTATTTTTTCTGTATATCGTGATCAAAGTTTATAAAATTTGACTAAGAATGGTCAAATAGAAAGATTTGAGGAAGTATAATACTCCCTCCGTCCAACAATAAATTTCCAGTTCATTATTCATATGGTCAAACTTCATTCACTTTGTTGGTCTATTTTCGTGTCCTATTTGACAAGATACTATAGTCATGCATGTCACTTCTAGTATGCATATTTTATCATGTAGCTTTTAAATATGTAATCTTTATTTTTTAATTCAATGTCATTTTCCATATAAAATGATTTGAAAAAATAACTTCACTCAAACATCCTAATAACGCGCAACGAGAACTTTTTTTTATGAAGGGGGGTATAATTCATGTCTTGAACTAATCGTTCTAGTTTAACTTTTAAAGAAAACTAGGGAGTAATTTAAATTTATTTAGAAGAAAGAGAAAAATCACGGAGTACGTACCATTTCCATTTTTTTATTACTCCTCACCTTTATTAATTAATGATCAAACAATTGAGTTCTAACCAGTATATCAATCCATACCTCAAAGTGAAGCTTTTTTTACTTTCCTACTTTCCCATCCAGGAAAACAAACACACACACACACACAGTAGGCTAGGTGATGAGTCAAAATATGTTTTATTCTTTACAGAAAAAAAAAGAGAGAGAGAAATCAGTGATAAAAAAATAAAAAGCTACAAATAAGGACAATAATTATTACAGCGTGTAGTAGTAATAATTCAGTGGTAGTCCTACATAAAAACCTAAACTGTTGCTTCTTTTGGAAAAAACCAAAGCCCACAGCTAACGTCAAAGAAAAAAAAGATTATGAGATGTGAAAGAAAAGGAAAGAAACATATGTATAGAGCCTATAGAGAGAAAGAGATAACCTCCGTACGGTGTTGTAGGGCTCCGGCCAATGAGATGTCGAAAACGCAGAAGGTTTGTCTCCTTAATTACATTTCTCCTTTTTTTTTATTCGCCAGACTTTTTGTATTTTCTAGTCTTCAAAGAATCATGAATAGTGGATGGAGTCCTCGTGATTCTTTTACCAATTACCGCTTACCACCCTTCACACAAATTAAGGAGAAAATGGTTTTTGTAGAGTATTATTTTACATGTTTTTCACTATTACCTCTCTCACAAAAAGAATGTCATAGTTCATTATTCATAAGTTATAAAAAAATTATTTATATGTTTTCATTGACTATTTGGTGAAATAAAATATACTTTTTATCATTTATTTTGAAGAAAAATAAATCATATTTTACTCAATTTATATTATAACTAAATATTTTTTTTCTATAATTCGTGATTATTTACAGTACCACCCATCACACAAATTAAGGAGAATATGAGTTTTGTAAAAGTTTTACTAAAACAAATTTTTTATCGTATTCTTTTACATGTTTTTCAATACTATCTCCGTCGCAAAAAGAATGTCACATTTCATTATTCAAAAATTATATGATGAACTTTTTTATTTGTACGCTTTCATTGACTATTTGATAAAATAATATATTCTTGTTACCACTTGTTTTGAAAACTTTTTAGGTAGCTTTAAATATGAAAATTTTATTTTTATTTCTATATAATCTCTAAATTGATTCAATTTAAAAAAAAACTTTTACTTCATTTTACATAATGCGGCAAATATTTTGGGATGGAGGAAGTATATCATAATATCTTGATCGTTGATATCTTTAATTACAATGCTTGCTCCATCCCAAATAATTTTCTCGTTTATTTGTTTTTGACATGTATCCTTTAAAAATATAAATTATATGGTTTAGACTATTGAGTTTAACACACCAAGTAGACCACAATTAGATGAGAAGTCACTTTTTTATATCAGACAAATATAACTCAAAATCTAATATAATTACTCTCACATAAATCTCATATACTCCAAAACTTGGCTATGCTATTTATAATATATTGACCTAACTTGATCAACAAGTTAGCTAATTAATCTCAGGACTCATAATTTTACTCCTATTCGAATTAGCCAACATTCACCTCCTAAATTCCGAATTGGATTCTGAGTGATCTGCAACTCCATACTTGTCTTCTTCACCTTGATTCTCCCAAAGCTCCATGTTCCCTTACAGTGTTCTTTAGGCTCCACTTAGCTTGAACAAATACTTGTTTCTTGCGATCATTACATGTCATTCCTTGGGTTTGGATCCTTTTCTTGACATCTTCTTTAAACTCTTGAACATTCTTCATTGAACTTTGATTTTGGGTTTCTCCAATAAACTTGGATTTTTGAAAAGAGTGTGGCTCGTACTTCGCGTACCCTCTTTGAGTTCAATTTTTTGTAGATCCCGACCCACAAAATTCTTCATTATTCCAATAATACTAACTTGTGTATCGAGACTTGCTATCTTAAGGTTGATCTTGTAAAAAATGATTCTTGTTCCTTGTCACCATCATCATAATTAAGTCTCCCTTTTGTCATCATGAATGGTTAGCAGATTGCTTTTCATGTGAATGTCGCATCCACCTCGCGTTGCTTGACCAAGACTTATGATGTTGCTTTGTAGGCTCTATGCAGTAAACATCGGTCAACAAACGATGCTCCCCCATTTTCCCTTTAACGAACACTGATCCCCTTCTCTGTATGTCAATACAAGATATATCTCCAAACTCCACCTTTATCGAATATATTCATTGAGTTCACAAAAGTAAGCTTGATTGCTTGTCAAAGGATTTAATCATCCGTTGTCAAGATACTAAGTTTCTTTCTCTATTGGCGTGATCTCGAAATACTTCGGAATCGCCCCTTCTTCATTTACAAAGTCCATCTCTTGATCACATCTATGATAAACAAAGATGGATTCAACACATCAATGTTGGAACATAGGTTTACACTTACGTCGTACTAAAACTGTGTTCGTTTTATGACATGTTTTGATAATGCCAAACTGTCGCGAAAACAAGAACATATTGAACAAACCAAAGGTGAAAAAACATAACATGATGATCAAGTGAAAACGAGAACCAAGAACAAGAACAAAGACGTAGTAATAGTTCAGTTGGTCTTAGTGTGATCAAGACCGACATTGACTTTACAAATTGGCTCTCTAGGCTAATTACATTAAAATGCTTTTCATGCATCATCAAAAACATTTTCATAAGGTTTAATAATCCTAAAACACTTGAAGTTCGCCCAAACCAAAAACCAAGTCATCCCGCGTTTGGCTTTCAGAATCCGGCGTTCGACATTCGGTTATCGGCGGTGGTTTTTGGTGTCTGAACCAACCAAAACACTTCAAAAAATTACCTTTCGTTTTTGGTCTTTGGTAAAAACCATGTGAAACGACATAAACTTGGCTAGCCGTGGTTTTGCCTTATTGACGTGGTTTTTAATATATCACACTTGGTTTCTTAGCAAAACACATTAAATAATTTCTTTCAAGACTTGGTTTTAAATTTGGAGAACTTTGGTTTTTGACATCAGCTTTCGGCGCTGACTAGTTAGCCAGGGTTCGGGCAAACCAGCCCAACAGCGATGTTGAAGTGACCAACAATGATGTTTGGTATTGGCACCTGAAAACCATAGCTTGGCACTAATTCCTCCAACAACGATGTATGTTGGTTATTGTACATGGTTGTTGAGCCAAGCCTGAAATTCTAGAACTTTTTGAACAGCGATGTAGACTTCTCTATAGCAATGTTCAACGTAAGCCAAGAGAAAATGTTTTTGACAGAAAGTTTTTGAACATCGAAGTTGGCCCAACAAAATCGATGTCAAGCCAAATTCTTCCTTGGAAGGTTAAGCTTGAACAACGATGTTGACTTATAAACATCTATGTAAGCACCCGACCATTGGAAGAAATTAAAGACTAAAACTTTCCATGTTTGGAAGTCAACACATTGAACATCAATGTTCATCATTTCTACATCGATGTTGGCATGACCGTTGAAGCTTAAAATTCAAAAGTTTAATCTTGGACAGCGATGTTCAAGTTATGAACAGTGCTGTCAAAATCATACTCTGATTTGTAGTATGAATGTTTAATCTTGGACTTGACTCGCCCTCTAAGCAAAATGAGAAGCACTTTCCTTCAGGTGGGGATACAATGGGAAGGTATTCAAGCTACATCAAAAGTGTAGCGACTTGATATTTAGACATGGTTGCGACTAGATAAAAGCAATAAATAGTAGAACCATAGGCAAGTCCATGCTCACAAATTACATGATGAAAAATATACGAAGTTATAAACACCATGAGGTTAGCCAGTGTTTCCTTCTTTTTGAGGAAGGCAAGTCCGGTCAATCTTTTCATCATACCTCAATGATATTGTGAAATTGTGTGAACATTCTAAATATCAACTTCGACAAAGAAATATTTCCCCTAGACAAATCATCACAAGTCGTGACATTGTGCTAGTAAACCAACATTTATATATCCATTAAAAAATATTGCCAGAAAGATGCATACCATGATTGGTCAAAGTGTACATATGGATAGCGAACAATAACTGGCTGTATAGGTAACCCCAAGATAAATGCGCTCAATTAGAAAGAAATAATAGCTCTTCCATTGGTGGTTGTGCCTTCAAGAAATAAAAGCACTCGCGGAAATTGATCATGAGATGCCTTTCTCTGTATTCAGATCCTTGAAAGCATATTTTTGTATCAAATCGCTTATATATGGACAAAATATCTAATTTTTTGAACTTACATATTCGGAAATATTTTAAAATTGATAAATAGCTGACAAAACATTATTTCAACATGATTTCTTTCCTTCTGAACTTTATATGAACTCCATTGCAATTATGTATGCAACTTGGAGCAATTTAGTACAGTAAGCGACTTTGAGATCAATTAGCAATTTGTTTTATGTTTTTGGGTATATATTGTAACTTTGACAAATAACACTTTCGAAATTCCATTGTTTCAGCTGAATCTTTTTATTTAGAATAGAGATCAAATCAAAACAGCTTTGCCATAAACAATATATTACTAGGACAGAAAAATGTCTTACACAATTATTTAACGTATAAGATTGAGATCATTGAAAACATTCTTCTGTGAACCCTTGTGATTTAGCGGGTTTAACCCGATTTGACCGAGTACGATGGGAACGGGTAGGCTCGGCCTCCCTCCCCTCGCCTAACCAGGCAAATGCACTGACATGAGCCGCACTTTGCCCCAACCTCAGATTTGCTAACTTGCGCTGGCACTCCTGTAACGCCCCAAAACATACCCTAGAATTATTAATGAAAAAAATAATCAATTAATCAAATTTGTTTTTATTAAAATAAATTATTGTTGGGCTTTGGTCCGATATGAAATGTGTTTTGACATCCAATATCAAAATCTGGATAAGTCTCATAGAGATAAATCCAATATGTGGACTATTTGTGTGGTCTTGATTGGGAACCTAAGTACAGACCCAAATCAAGACTAAATAAAGAATTTGTTTAGAATGTAAATATTGAAATGATTTGTTAAAATAAATCATGAGAATAATTGATATGAATTAAATGAGAAAACCTTTTATGAGAAAGGTCAATTAAACCAATTTTGACTCTGTCAAAGTCAAACACTCAAAAATATGATATCAGAAAAAGTATTGCAAATAATTATGAAAATTATATCGTTGGATAGAGTTTAACTGTACGATTGCAACGGTGCAAACGGATTTCAATTTGGAGAAAGTTAGACCAAAAAGTGTACCCCGACTTGAACCAAAATTGGTCCCAATCAGGGAATTGCGTATCAAATTTTGGAGATCGCCGCTGAATCCACTCAATCGATCGTGAGTCACAAATGACTCAGCAACAATTGGCTACTTCCTTCTCCAAATGCTATAAATGGGCACCCTCACTTATCTCAACTCTGCACAAAACTTCCTGAAATTAGTACCATAAGAATCTAGAGAGTGAGGGGAGTAATTTGATAGTATTAATTGCCGTCGAGGTCGCCGGAGCAAGCCGTGGTGTTCGCCGGAAGTTTTGTCGTCCAATCACCGGAATCATCGTTTAGCTCCGAGGTAAGCCCGTAGATATATCTAGTGACTAGAATGTTCGTATAGATCGTTTCTACGTTAATAAATGGTCGTTTGGTTGAGTTTTGTGTTTGACATGTTTGAAAAACCAAGAATCATAAACCATGAAATTGTTGTTAAAATTACGAATTAATGACTCTGAAATGATCTGTGAACATTGGAGAACATTTTTATATAATTAAATTGAAGTTTGGTGATTAAAAATGATAATGTTAAAACTGACCCGAGGAAGAAGATGATGAACAGTGGCCGAAAATCGATTATTTACTTACTAAAAATCGATTAGAATTTTATTCAGATCAGTGGTTCGAAGTCAGTACCATTTAATCGATTATTTATATTGTAAAAATCGATTATTATGAAATAATTGATTATTTAAATTGTAAAAATCGATTATTATGAATTAATTGATTATTTAAATTGTAAAAATCGATTTTTTATGAATTAATCATATATTTATATTGGAAAAATCGATTATAATGAATTAATTGATTATTTAAATTGTAAGAATCGATTATAATGTATTAATTGATTATTTAAATTGTAAAAATCGATTATTATGAATTAATGGATAAATCAATTTTTATAAATTAATTGATTATTTAAAATTATTTTCCTCAATTCCAGATCCTACTACGAAAATGTTCTTGAAAATATGCTCTAAAATCCTATTTTTGATAACAATTAATTGTGAACAATACAAATATGATTTTGTATAATAAAAATGATGTTTTAGGCATATAAAACATTATGTGATGCATGACGGTAAGTTAGAGTGTTAACACTCAAAACTAGACCGCTATTTGTTATCAATTGTTATGTTGATTAATGATTATGATGAATGAGTATTATGGATTATCAAGAATGATGAACTAATTAATCAAAATGATTATTGATGATTGAGCCATGAGTATAATGAATATATTGATAATTATTAAACAATTTGTATTGTTAAGGATATCTAGAAGACTTTAAGATATACCTATTAGCTAATTGATGTTAAAACTATCTAGAAAACCTCTAGAATAGATCTTAGAACAGGTTTATGAAAACATGAACATTTGAAGAATTAGATAAAACCGCATAAATGGGATTCATAGACCAAACTAGAGGATCACTCGTTTGGGAATGCCCGATCTAATATTGATCAATTGCTATATATTTGTTGCCTTAACTGACTACAGTTAAGTGTCCGAATCATTTACCTTAAACTAGTGATAGTTTAAGTGTCTGATTGCCTTAACTGACTACAGTTAAGTGTCCGAAATCAATTGCCTTAAACTAATGATAGTTTAAGTGTCTGATTAATAATTGCCTTAAAAGAATCTGGTTATGGAAATTATGATTTGGCCTTAGACTAAGAATAGCTAAGAGCATTATTATGATCTGGCCTTAGACTAGGAATAGCTAAGAGCATTGTTATAATCTGGCCTTAGATTAGGAATAATTTAAGAGCACTATTGAAATAGTATCTGAATTGAATAAAATGTAATGATATGAACTGAACAATACCAAAACTGTGAATGTCTGAAATGAACATTGTGTGCATGATATCAAATGATTTGATTATGAATTTAGATTCAGTTTATATGGATGTTCGACGCATTAGATATGCTTACTCAGCTTTACCGCTGAGCGTGTAGTGTGTTTTATTTGCTACACGCAGATAAGCAGAAAGCACAATGTGATCCTGGCGGCAGATGGGGCGAGATGAATTCACCTCTCGGAGATTACCCGGTGTAGTTTCTGAGGTTGGAAAGTGTCGGCAGAGGAGAATCTACGAGGGCTTGGCGTGTAGCGACCCGTGTCAGTAGAGGACGACGGGAGATGCTGAAGAATCCATCCAAGGCACTACCTGACAAAGGGAATAATCCCCCTCACAAGGCGACAAGGTAACTAAGAGACGAGGCCCATCACCTCTCAACATCCGAGACACGTGCCTCCACGTGGGCGCACGTGGTCCTGTCTCCTTAGCCTAGTATAAATACTCATGTAAACCTCAGAAAGAGGAATCCGAATTCATTCTCTCTAAACTCCCTTGTAAAAGCACCCGTGCATATTCCGTTATAATATAAATCGGGCTACAGGTGTTCCACCTAAAGTCCTACCGGTCAATCTGCGTGTTTTTACCTTTCTTACTTTGCCAGATCGAACAAACTATTCTAGACCCGGTCTAGCATAGTGTGACCGGTCAAGTAATTTACACCATCATTTTTGGCGCCGACCGTGGGACCGTTGAGGTTTCTTTTCCTAAACACAAACCTACCCACCAAAACACCACTCGAAATGTCTTCCAGCCAACAAATCAACGCTACTTCCGCTCAGGTGCAGGCCACCAACGAGGGAGCCAGCATCCCTGTGGCTGCTACCATACCGGTCATTTCAGCCCCGGTGTTGCCTTTGGGTCTGAGCTCTGTCCCGACGGCCAGCGTGATCAGTCCCTTCGTAACCCCCGTCCCTTCCGCTGGACCGAGGGTAACGTTCCCACCAAGCATGACTCAGTTCATGAATGACCCAGCCAACCTACAAGCCATCCA